AGCCACAGGTTGAGAGTCTGATTTCCCACTATGCATCTCAGGAATATAATCATCCTCTGTAACCTTAGGCAAGTTGCACAGTCCCAGAACACCCTCAAAAGAAGGGACTGGTAAGCACTTCAGAGTACTCTCCACCTAGAAAACTCTAGAAAGGGTGGCCATAGTCAGAATTGACTGGATGGCATGCAGTTATTATTATGCAGAATGTAACACAATCGGGTATAAAGCAGACAGATCTTAGAAAGTAATTTTTAAAATATCATTGCAGTTAATGGTTCCAAATGCAGTAACACCATCAATCAATTTAAAAAACACAACTCTTTTATTTTCTCCTAATTTGAAAGTAATGAAAATCAGAATGCTACGTGCTGCAAACCTGTGGTGCAAAGGGTACTTATGTGAGGAGGCAACATAAAGGTAACTAAAGTTATAGCATAAAAGAAGTAACCCTTTTTTAAGTTTCATTCACAATGTATTTTAGCTATGCTTTGTTGTTACCTGCTGTCAAGCTGGAACTGACTTATAACGACCCTAATAGGGCCTTCAAGGTAAGTGAGATATTTAACCAGTGGTTTTACCAGTTCTACTTCCCCAGTGAATTTCCATGACTGAGCTGGGATTTGAATCCAAGCTTTCTGAGTCCTAGCTCATCACACTATCCACTATGCCATCAGCTGTGCTTTCTTTGTAACAAAAAGGACTGTATATTAGCAGTGTAGTTGATGTGCTGACCTTTAAGGGGCCATAGGCTGAAAAAATTTCCAGCCTCAGTCTGTATTGTTAATCCTGGAATTAGTTGATGAGACGTATTTTTAAATACATGTGTACATAATTAAAATCTTCCTTGACAAAGTCTTATGCACTCCTTGTGGATTTAAACCTTTTCTACAAAGCTATGGAAATTGCCTATACTGTGGAACTGTGTACCATATAAAGTCACTAATCTCTCCAGTTGCTTTGATTGATGAGGTCTGCTTTTTAGATAGAACAATGCATTTTGGTGTACCATAAAAAGATATTCCAAGGCAGCACCTGGCCCTGCCAGTAAACTTGTTTAACACCTGGATGTCCCAGAACTGTAGCCTCAGAGGTAACAGCAGGGTTGGGATAGTTCTCTGCAAGATAGTATCAGGCTGGCTCCCTTCTTACATTAGTGGGTTTTGGAGATGCAGACATTGTTCCCAAATGGTCCGTATGGCATTGAGCATCTTCCAGGCACTAGAGTTGTTTCTTCCTGAGGATTATTCTTTCTGAGATATTGGATGTAATGGGCTTAGCAATGTGGATATATATGTATAAGAGGTATGTACCATATTTTTCCATGTATAAGATGCTACTTTTAAAAATTGAGGGCCGTCTTATACATGGAAGTAAGCTGATAAGAGAACAAAATAGCCCATGCCTTGGCTCTTCAAACAGGCTTTCTTCAATCATGAGGCTTAGTTGCCTCCAGTCACGAGGCTTAGCTTCCTCCAGTCACAAGCCTTATGTCACTGACGTCAGCTGATGCTGAATAAGCCAATTGCAACAGTGCTCAGATACAACAGGGACTCCTAATGTCTGAATGTTCTGAGCCCAGTGGTTGAATAAAGTTAAAGTGTGATGTATAATATGACAGTACTGGTAGGTAGATGTTACCTAATTACTAAATAAAAATGTGTTCTGTTTTATATTTAAAATACTGATTTCTTAATTGGGTTAGAAAAGTGGGAGGCCTATTATATATATGGGGCGTCTTATACACAGAAAAATATGGGTCTGGATCTATAACTGGAAATATAGGCTATTTCTTTAGGCAGAGTAAAACCCACTGGATTCAATGAGATTTACTCAGGAGTATATATAATTGCAAGAATACACAGAGGAATTATACCAGAAAGACTTGGATATCCCGGACAACTCACATAGTGTGGTTGCTGACCTTGAGCCAGACATCCTGGAGAGTGAAGTCAAGTGGGCCTTAGAAAGCATGGCTAACAACAAGGCCAGTGGAGGTGATGGCATTCCAGTGGAACTATTTAAAATCATAAAAGATGACGCTGTTATGGTGTTACACTCAATATGCCAGCAAGTTTGGAAAACTCAGCAGTGGCCAGAGGATTGGAAAAGATCAGTCTACATTCCAATCCCAAAAAAGGGCAATGCCAAAGAATGCTCCAACTACTGTACAATTCACTCATTTCACATGAGTTATGCTCAAAATCCTACAAGGTAGGCTTCAGCAGTATGTGGACTGAGAACTCCCAGAAGTACAAGCTGGATTTCGAAGGGGCAGAGGAACTAGAGACCAAATTGCTAACATGCACTGGATTATGGAGAAAGCCAGAGAGTTCCAGAAAAACATCTACTTCTGCTTCACTGACCATGCAAAAGGCTTTGACTGTGTGGACCACAGCAAACTATGGCAAGTCCTGAAATGGGAGTGCCTGACCACTTTATCTCCTGAGAAATCTATACATGGGACAGGAAGCAACAGTTAGAACTGGATATGGAACAACTGATTATTTCAAAATTGGGAAAGGAGTATGACAGAGCTGTATATTAACCCCTTGCTTATTTAACTTACAGTGGTGCCTCGCTTAACGACGATAATCCATTCGAGGAAAATCGCCGTTAAGTGAAAACATCGTAAAGCAAAATAAAACCCCCATTGAAACACACTGAAACCCGTTCAATGCGTTCCAATTGGGTAAAAACTCACAGTCCAGCGAAGATCCTCCATACGGCGGCCATTTTTGCTGCCTGTATAGTGAGGAATCCGTACCTAAACACAGCAAGGAGCCATTTTAATTACCTGGCGGCCAGTTCGAAACCGCCAATCAGCTGTTAGAAAAATGTAGTTTTGCGAAGAATTGGTTCCCGAAGCAGGGAACTGATCCCCGCAAAGCGAAATTCCCCCATTTAGACCATCGTTTTGCGATCACAATTGCGATTGCAAAAAGATTGTCGTTAAGCAGATTCGTTGTAATGCAAGGCAATTGTAAAGCAAGGCACCACTGTATATGCAGACTGCATCATGCAAAACGCTGGACTGGAGGAATCCCAAGCCGGAATTAAGATTTCCGGAAGAAATACAGTATCAGCAACCTCTGATATGCGGATGATACCAGTCTGATGGCAGAAAGTTTGGAGGAATTAAAGAACCTCTTAATGAGGATGAAAGAGGAGAGTGCCAAAAATAGTCTGAAGCTCAACATCAAAAAAACTATGATCATGACCACTGGTCCCATCACTTCCTGGCAAATAGAAGGGGAAGATATGGAGGCAGTGAAGAGCTGATCTTCTTGGGCTCCATGATCACTGCAGTAGCCATGAAATTAAAAGATGACTGTTTCTTGGGAGGAAAGTGATGACAAACCTAGGCAGCATCTTAAAAAGCAGAGACATCACCTTGCCGACAAAGGTCTGCATAGTCAATGGTTTTTCCAGTAGCGATGTATGGAAGTGAAAGCTGGACCATAAAGAAGGGTGACCACCGCAGAATTGATGCCTTTGAATTGTGGTGCTGGAGTAGGTTCTTGAGAGTCCCCTGGACTGCAAGAACAAATCTATCTATTCTGAAGGAAATCAACCCTGAGTGCTCACTGGAAGGACAGATCCTGAAGCTGAGGCTCCAATACTTTGTGTCAGCGTTTCTTAGCGCAAATCGCGGTTTTAACAGAGTGATTCGCAGTCCAGAAATAACTCACACACAGTCCAGCAGCATTTCCTTCAGCAACGTGTATTTACAGCAGTATTTACAGCATTCTGGCCGCATAACATGTAGAAGTGATCTTCAAGCAGGAAGAAGATACAACTGACTGTACAATTCACACATATATACATATACAGGACCAATCAGATCTATGTGCTTACTTCTGCTTCGCATTTTATCAGTTGTCGCCATCTGGATGCATGTTGTATTGTCTTCAAATACCATAATTGCTTGGTTTACTTCAATGTTCAAATCTTTGATTAATTGTTTATACCAAGTAATCTCTGAACACACTCAGACAAAGCTGCAAATTCAGCTTCACTCGTTGAAGTTGCAATGGAACTCTGCTTTCTTGATTTCCATCCCACTAGAACATCTGCAAACAATATTGCAAATCCTGAAATTGATTTCCTGTTTGCTTGGTCACCTGCCCAATCACTATCCACAAATGCTTTTAACTTTAATTCATTTGAGGGTTTTATAACTAGACATTTGTCAAGCATTCCATTTAGGTACCTGAATACTCTTTTTACCCCTTGCCAGTGGTTTGGGTGGGTTTTGACACGTGTCTACTCAAGATATTTACCACAGCAGCAATATCTGGTCTAGTCCAATTGGCTAGGTACGTCAGACTTCCTATTGTTGATTGGTATATCTCCTGATTTTCAAACTCCTTACTTTCGGTTTCTGACTTTTGAAAATCCACTATCATTGGAGTTTTTGCAATTTTACATTCTTGCATGTTATACTTTGTCAACATTTGTTCTATTTTCGTTTTTTGACTTAACACAAAACAAGAAAGGGACAAAGGTCGAAAAACCAGGTAAGTTACTTTCTTGGACTGTAATTCAAGTACTGTTTTGAGTCCCCCCTCTCTGTTTACTACCGGAAGACAGTGAGAGCGGGTGCTGTAACGACCGGCACAAGCAAAACTCACCTCGTCCCTCCTTGCAGTGCGCGGCGGAGTTACGGTAGGGAACCCGAGGCAGGCCAAGCGCTCTTGGCCTCCCTACTCTAGTCTGTCAGGGGCCACCGCGCCTCCTCCGCTTTTGCTTCCCGCTTTCCTCCTCCGTCCCTCCTCCTCCTCCTCCCGCAGGCACCTAACCCGGCGCTTCTCGGCCACCTCTCCTCAACTCCGGCGCTGCTCCTCCCGCTCAGCTCCACCCCTTCGGGAGGGTCGGCGCTCTCTTCTCCGCCCTCGCGGCGCGTCGCCCTCCTCGCGGCAGCCAATGGAACTCCGCGCCGGAGCCCGTTCTCCCTCCCCCCCCAGGGAGGGGGCTGACCACTTCTCTCCGGGCCTCCCACGTGATCCATGTTCCCCTTTCAGCCGCCCGGGTCAGGGAAGGAGGCGCCGGGCTCGGCTCTGGGCTCTCGGTCGGTCCCCGGCGCGCCGTGACAGGGCGGCGATGGGCGCGGCCGCCTTCCTCTGGCTCCTGCCGGGCGTCCTGCTAGGCCTGTGCGCCGGAGAGAGACCCTCTCCCAGCCGACCCTTCTCCCCGGAAAGAGACTGGGAAGGGATGGCGAGGGGAGGCCGGCGCCTCCTCTCCCTCCTCTCCGGGGAAGCGCTGCAAGCGGCGGACGACGACCTGTCCGGGCTGGAGGCGAGGCTCCCGCGGGATCTGCTGGACTCGCAGCTGGAGCCCGAGTGCCGGGAGCTCCTGGCGGGCTTCGCCAACAGCAGCGTGAGGCTGACCGGCTGCTTGGTGCGGAGCGCCCGGCCTGTGACCGTCTGCCAAAACTGCCACCGCCAGTTCCGGGAAGTCCGGGAGCTGCTGGAGAATATCACCCGGGCCGTGGGGGTGCGTGCGTGCCTGCCTGCGCCGGCTTGAGTGGGGAGGCTCGCCAGACCCCCGTCTTCATGCCAGGGCAAAATACTGTAAAGGGGGGAGGCGGGCGGGTCGGCGGGAAGCGTGGTTAAGGGCTCATGGGGTGCCCCGTTCGCCTTGTAGGGCTGGTACTGGCGGGAGGTTATTTTTTTTTAAAAGACAGCTAAATAGGTGCATTTTTGTGGGCTGCACTCAAGGTTATCGATTGGGTTGCATGAAATTGACGGCTGACGTTCTCCCCTCGGAAAACATGTCTCCCCGAATATGCCACCGATCTCTTCGAGGTGCCATCAGAATTTTTGTTGGGTTTTGGTGCCAGAGGACAACAGGGCTGCCTCATCTGGAAATCCTGCCTTCTGAGGTATTGGAATGAAGGCCTGGTCTGCAATCTCACTGCTGTTGTCAGTGTTTGTCTCTGGCCCACCCAAAAATTAGTTCCCGGAATGAAAGCTCACAAACATTTTAAATAATCAGGAAGTATGCTTAGTCATTTGAACAAGTCCATGACTGTTGTTGGTTAAAACCAGAGGCCTGCTTTCCGCAGATGGCAGGAAAAAAAAAGAGGGGGAGCAGCTACATCTCCTATGTTCTGACAGTGGTTCCCAACCTTTGTAACCCAGGTGTTCTTGGACTGTATCTCTCAAAGCAGGTCTTCACCGCTAGCTGTGCTGGCCAGGATTTCTGGGAGTTGCAGTACCAGAACACCTGGAGACCCAAAGGTTGGGAACCACTGCTCTGGAAGGACAGAGGATCTTTGTGCTGCAGTCCGTTTCCTGATCCAATTCTCCTCAGAATGACAAATGGCATCTTGGTGGAGGTCAAGCAGTGCCCCAATTGCAGCATCGTGGACTAGACAGATATTGTTTTTGTTTGTTTGTTTTTAGAGCCTTAGTAAACCACAAGCAGATGGCATATAAACACTGGATTAAGGAATGGGATAGCAAGCTGTGAATTTGTAGCTATCAGTTTTCAGTGTCAAGAGTTCACATAGCTGTACCTACAAACTGAATGCGGTCCAGCAGTCATGTTCTGTGGCCATCCAGATGCTTGATGTTTTCACTTTTTGTGCTTGTAGGCAGGTGTCAAGAATTGCTGAATTCTTTGTGAGGTGCTATAAATCAGTGGTCCCCAACCTTGGGCCTCCAGATGTTCTTGGTCTTCAACTCCCAGAAATCCTGGCCAGCAGATGTAGTGGTGAAGGTTTCTGGGAGTTGTAGTCCAAGAACATCTGGAGACCCAAGGCTGGGGACCACTGCTGTAAATGACTGGTTAGAAGTGTTCAGGCAGGTGGGCTGGAATACTTGCAGGAGGGTTTTTAAAAAATTAATTGGGAGCATTGTGTTGATCTGAACACTGGTTTGGGAAATGTTGATATGGCTCTTGCCCCTTTTGTGTGCAGTCTATTAATAGACCGTTGCTTTGGATGAGCAGGAACTTGAAAGGGGACAGGAGATGTCTTACTGTGACTGGAAAATAAGTGTGGATCTGACTCACTCTATCACGCTGAAACTGTCAGTCACATTTGGTCAGAATCAGTTCATGAGGACAGAAACACAGAGAACATTGAAGGGACCACAGGCCCTCTTCTGGATGGGCATCTTCATTTGGAGGGATACCAAGGGTTGAGGGGGGAGGCTTCAGATAACTTGGATCTTTGTGCCTCCAGTTTTAGAATGGCAAATTTACAATTGCTAATGTTTAATAGCATATTTATTGGAGATCTTGGAAGTGATCTGCAATAAGAAACTGGTTACTTTTCTTGGTAACAAAGTTACAGTGAACTTCTGTTCAAAAACTGTAACAAGTGAGAACTGTATTCATTTGTTGGTGCAATCCCAGTGTTTTCTAATTACCCTAGAGGGTTTTTTTTTAAAGAGGTAAATTGGAATTCCAATTATATGCCATGCTTGGATCAATTCTCATCCCACCCCGAGCTGTTTCCTTCACAGACACCTTGGAGACACCTTGTTGACATGGCATCCCATGGTCTAAAGACTGTGGGATAATCTTTATGAGGACTGCTGGATAAAGAATCTAGCCTTTATCCAGCAGGTGTTTAGATTCCACATTTTTTTGTGTTCTATCTAGCTCTGTGATTTTTTTTAAAAAGGAGTGTTCTTCTATGTTCTTGGAGTTAACACAACTGAACAAAAGGAACTATATTTCTGCTGCTGATCTGCTCTTCAGCGTAGTGTATTGGTACTGTATAACATGTATGTATAACATTGTTTTCCCCCTTCTCTTTTCAGAACACAACTGAGAGTAACCACTGTGCCAGAAGTCTTTTGAAGTCAGATAGACTACAGCTAGTTGTGATCTTGTCTAATTTTTTTAATGACACGTGGAAGAAAGCAAATTGTGCGAGTATGTACTCCCTTGGGCTATTTGTTTCTCTGCTTTGTGTACATTTACCTCCATTAATCTACAATATCCAAACAACTGCATCATGTTTATTAAAGTTCCAGCATGTAAGAAGGTTTCATTGTCCTCTACAAAAAGTGACAACCGCAACAGTGGCTCTGGTTCAGCAATCACACATAGATTGGGAGTGAAACAGACAGAGGGAGGAAGCTGTGAGAATTTTACCCATGTTCTCTATGCTTGGAGAGTTGTTAGTAAAAAAGGCTTTCACCCATAGCTTTCTTGCAAGAATATAAGAATGGTGAGGCGTAATGCACTTGTGATTAGCCACTTAATGCCATATCTAACATTTGAACCAAATTATCTCTGATCAGACTGAGCAATTGTTTTATTAAAATAAATTGAAATTTTGGTTGGTGTGGGTTTTTCGGGCTCTTTGGCCGTGTTCAGAACAAAGCCAAAGAGCCTGAAAAACCTACAACCACCATTAGATCCTGGCCATGAAAGCCTTCGCAAATACATTAAAATGAAATTACATTATACAGTCTTCTGGTGGATAATATAACTTCCTGGCTGTGGATACCATTTCAGTGGATACCAGCCCCTAGTTCCTGCCATCCCTGTCCCACGGCCATGCTTGCTGGAGCTGCTGAGATCTGGAGTCCAACAGTACCTGGCAGGCCACAAATTGCTCACTCCTGCTCCAATAGGAAATCCTGAATAGATTTCCCATGTCAGTTGGCCAGCAGCATGATGTAGATTATGGAAACCCAAATTTCCCTAGGAATCCTGATTTGAGGATGCCATTTAAGGAAGATTGGCTGAAAATCTTACAATGATAGTTAAAAGGTCCTCGGTGGGTGTGTATGTGGACATTTCCAGCTGTTTTGCCCGTCCTTATGCAGTGCAGACTAATAGGGCCTGTGGCGGAAGGAAGTGATGAAAGAGGTGCTTAGAGGAGGAGGAGGAGGAGGAGACCTAACAGCAAAACTGAATATACATGGGACATGATGGAGAACTGGCAATCTTTACCTCTTCAGGACAGAGATGGAAAGCAGGTTGAGAGAGGAGACATGGGTGAAAGCTAGGATGAAGGCTGTTCTACATGAGATTTGGAGATGCCAACTAGTGCTTTTAGGTTACTTGTAGAAAATGTTGTTGAGATGTTATGGAAATTTGTTTGGCTTTAGGATTTATTTGTTCTCTGGCTTAGGTATAAGCTGTAGGTTTAGGACATTTCATTTGTATTGATTTATTCAGTGTGGTATGGAGTGATTAGCAGTCTGAATAGCTCCATGAGTTAGGCATCTGACTGTGGAGTCATAGGTTGGGAGCCTGATTCCTCACCGTCCCTACCGGGAGAAGAACTAGCCTAGTGCAGTGCCAAAGTGCCCTTCAAAAGAAGAGAAGGACAAACCTAGAAAACCCTGGGAAAGGTTGTCATAAGTCAGAATTGACTTGACAGCATGTAATTATTATTATAATGGGGGTGATTACTGCTGTTATTATGTATTTATTTACTCTGTGCTGCTATGCTTATTTATAATTTCTCCTGTTATTTTTGTTTATTGATTTTATTTAATCATTTATCACCTTTCCTATATACAGTAACAGGATCCCAGTTAGGTTACAAAGTTGTATGAAACAATTTTAGTTTATAAGATATTTAAAACAAGTTATTTAATTAAATTAATTTAAACAATATTTAAAATTATAAGCTATTTAAATCAAACAGCAAAAATTTAGAACATTGAGACATGAAAAACATAAAAATCATTGCACTAAAACCTATGTGGGCCATGATCCTGAATCCCCAAAGGCTCTAATAAATAAGTACGTCTTGGCCTGTTGCCAAAGGGATGCCAATGTTGGTACTAATCGAGCCTTCTAGGGGAGGGCATTCCACGGATGGGATGCTACAGCAGAAAAAGCTTTTCCCCTTGTCTCCACATAATGAAATGCTCTCAGTGGTGGGACATGGAGGAAGGCCTGCCCAGCAAATCTTAATGATTGGGCAAGTTTATATAGGGAGAGGCACTACTGTATATAAAAGTTCAGGTCCGAAGCTGCAGAAGTGCATTGGCAGCCAGTGCAAATCCTTTAGAACTGATATTATGTGGCCTCTGAAATATGTTCCTATTAGCAGTCTAGTGGCACCCTCTGTGTCATCTTCAAGGGTGACCCCACATAAAATGCTACATATTTTTACTTGTTACATGTTTCTGTGTCATCTTCAAGGGTAACCCCACATAGAATGCTACATATTTTTACTTGTTACATGTATTGCTATTCATTTCTATATTTCTAGCTAGTTTGCTTACAGTTTAATGTGAAAGTGACATTAAAATAAAATGATTATGATGATCTTTAAAATGCCTACGCCATGCAAATGAGCATGTCATAAATAGGTACTGTAGATAGTTGGATAATGGAATTCACTGACCCCACAGGTTTGAAACCTAAAAGACTCGTGTTAAAAAGAAAAGGGATATGAATGGGAGAGAAAAACAGGAAAATTCAGGAACCAATACTTAAAGTTCCATGGTAGATCTCATAAGGATCATTCTCAATACCCTCAGTTTGTAGAAGGAAATCGTTCAGTCTTAACTGGACTCCTAACTGAGTCTGTGGATAGAGGTCCTATCATTCCATCACTCCCTCTACTCAAAACTCTTGTTTAACTAAATATAAAAATCTTAGTCCATAATACTAACAGACTAGAAGTGCATTTATTGATCTTAGTTTTCCATGTGCTCTTGTACAGTTTTAAAATATGAATAGTGTGATTGGATTCGTTGGTTGACGTGTGCGACCCCTGTGATGGCGCGGAAAGGAGAGTTGGAGGCTGATCTTTATTCTTAACACAACTGGATTTATTACTGAACAAACTTAACTCCATGGGTTCAAAAGGGTCCATCAAACTGAGTTCAGGCAACAAATGATAACTTCACACCTTAACATCTGGTGTCTTAATGTCGCTCCTTATTGAGGGGCCAGACCAAAACGCTCCCGGTCGGTCGTGGGCCTCAGCGGTGTGCTCCTCACCGCGCACACGGTCCCGCAGCAGGGATGTCTCGCCCAGTCTCCCTCTTGCTGAGGCTGGAGAAAAGAGGGACTGGGACGGATCACCCTCCTCCCCGCACATTGGTTGTGCGGATACACCATTGCCGTCCATTCCAGAGGCTCTAGGTCTTCCCCTTGTGCACACGAGTCCTTTGGTTCAGGCAACAGTCCTCCCCCAACTTGGAGGTTCAGGAACTCTTTAAGAAGTGTGGCAAATCCCTCTTGCCCAGCACTCCATTCCGTTTGCACACCTCAGTCTATCCTTTCTGGTGTTACGCCCGTTAGGATTCTAAAACTTTGCGCACCCTTTTCCTCTTTTATATCTCCCTCCCACACAGTTAAGACCAGCTCCTCCCCCTTTTCGTTAGCCAGACACACCTCCCAACGATTCCCTCCCTATACCCTCTACACATCCATGTCTTTCCTCTGTTCTCTGCTCCATGGAGGACGACACACTGGTCCTCTCTCCTTCACAAATAGGAACACAAGATGTCTATTAAGTGTTGCTTTGCTTCTTATATGTAAATTGCATGTAACTTGATGTTTCAGAGGAACTATATTATTTTATCTCTGATGCATTGTTTTTATGCATTTCATAAAATTGAGTATCTTGTTCATCTTGATTTTTGTCATTGACTATCTTCTCCTTCGGTCTCTTATTCCTTCTTCAAGGCAGTAGTGATTCTTTTTTTTTTTTAATCTGCAGTGGATGAATGGCTGATCAGGTGCCCCCCCCATTAGACTTCAGCACACATACACAAATTGAAGCCAATTCTAAGAACCTTTATATTCATCTTGTTATATATTTGTTGGGATTCATGGATATATTGAGCTTTCTGATGCATTTGTACTTGGTGGGCAAACCTGAATTTGCTCCAGTGTAATATGTGAAATTGTATTCACAAGTTTTATATGTAGAAAATAGCATTTTCAATGTTAGTGTCAGCTTTGGGCCACGGTGTGTCTCCAGTTGCTAGTGCAGTATATTGTCCGTGCCCACATTGTCTGTGTCTAAACTGTGCCCTTCACTACTACTAATCCTACTAATCCTACTGTTTCCTTTGATAATGTCAGCCAGAAGTGTGGGAAACAGCCCAGTTGATTTGTGAGATTGGCACCTATGGGCCCTCTCTGTATGTCTGTGAACATGCCTTTGGAGCCTGAATTTATTTTACATTTTGTGTTTGAACACACAGAGAAATGAGATATAAACATTTTATATAAGCTAAATAAAAAGTATGAGATATTTTTTAAGAATATTGTCCTGCAGTTTTGGGGGAAAATCAAAACTTAAGATTGAGCCTGTTCATCTGTAACGCTAAACAGAGGTGGCTACTTGAGTGTTTATTGCACTCTGTAGCCCCCTGCTGGAATGGTTGGGGTCGTTCTAAAAAAATATACTACAGTAAATGACATTCTTGTTAGAGTGTTGCAACCTGTTCCTAATGGGTACCAATCCTTCCCAGATTGCTCTAGGGTTGGAGCCTACTGTTTCTTTGGAAGAATTTCCATTTGTCCAGTTGTCTTGATGTGCAATTGCCTGGATCACTTCAGTAAAAATTCGCCAATATCATGAAGTGGTTTAATAATAAGCGTGCCACTTCTGGATATTGGCAGATTAATCACTTCCCCTGCTCAGCTGACAACACCATAATTCACTTAATTGTCTTGGCACAAAGTCTTGGCAGTTTTTTGCATTTGAAGAAATGGGCTGCTGTCCATGTAAACTTACACCAGATAAAACATATTTGCCTTTAAGGTGCCATAAGACTCTTTGTTGACACTTCTCCCTTGTTGCCCTCCTTTCAATTCAGTCAGTTGCCAAATCGTGTCACTTCATCCTTCTCAGCAGTACAAATATACAGCCCTTCTTCTCTGTTCATTCAGTAAGAAAACATGCTCGTGTCTTGGTCAGCTCTAACACTGAATACTGAAATGCTTTCTTTCAGTTTCTGCTGTCTCACCTTGATCCACTCACATCTGTTTCTTCAGAGTTATTCTTCCCTTGTGTTTCTCTGACCATGTGACTCCATTCCATAAATCTCTTCACTAGCCCTCAGTTTGTTCCAAAGTCCTACATAGGGATCTTTTTTTTACCCCAAAAGGTTTCCACAGCCTTGCCCTCCACATCTCTCTGTGCTTCCATCCCAACATTATCCTGTCTCTGCCCATCACTCTTTGCCACCCTTAGATATCTGCTGCTCCCTGACAGAACTGCACTCCCTCCCACTGCCCATTGTCCCTGAAAATCTGCCTTCAAGAATTCCTGTTGTGCCCATTTATCTTGTTTCCTATACGCTTCTCCTCAAAGTACACTGTTGAATTATCCCCTAGAGTCCTTACATCAGTTAAATCAAAGTACTTGTAGCAGAAATGCCGCACACAGTATTTTTCCCTGATTACCAATGCCTTCACTCTTCCCTTCTATTTCCCTCTTCCTCTTCTCTTTCTTTATGTCTATTTTACACTCCACACCTGCTGTTTGTAAAGTGTCTTCCATGTTGGTGACCCTTAAGAAATAGATTATATCAGCAGCATCCTGAAAGTAAAATGAGTCTTAAAAATGAACAGCTTTGGCTTAAAACAACTTTTTGGAAATAAATTCCAGGATAGAGTGACATGTTTATCTTCTCTTCACAGATTGCTTAAAGAATAATGGTGAAGGATTATCAAATAGTACAGTGACATTCCTGGCCTTATTCAACGAATCATTGGCATGCTTTGAACGAAACCTCCAGGTACTTGTTCGGTTTATGTGAGGGTATAGTTGAGCCCTCTAATTGTATGGTGAAGATGTTTTTTTCGCCTCTAGAGCAAGATGCAGCGAATATAATTCGCAAGCTCCTGTGCAGTTTAGGCAGGTAAAACAATTATCTTTAAAACGCAGGTGTTCGCAACTGAGAAAACAAAATGCATTCTAATTAATGTTCACCTTCATTTCATATGCAATTATGGTGCTGTTTGGTCTCACAATAGTTGGTAATTATATAGGAAGAGTCGGGTAATCTCTGCATATGGTAAATCACTTTCTTTCCTTATTCTGGGCCTTGTCACCTCCTGATTTAACTGCTGGGGTCCTCTGTTATTTTGTTTTAGGATGAATTCAGTCATAGATGCCTAACTGACTGAATACATTTTAAAAAGTTGAGTTTTAATATGTCTGCACATGAGCTGCTAAAAACTATTAAATTTGTTGTCACGAGGTATAGTGATGGCTGTCTGCTTGGAACACAAGGAGACGTAGGCAGTTGTACTCTCGTCCTATAACAGGGTTCAAAAGTTGTGAAATAATGAGCAGCAGCAAATGGAATAGTGGATGGAGTTGCATTGATTGACAAGTGAGAATTTTCATTGAAGAAACTGCAGTTAGATGAAGGAGCAGAGAGAGAGAGAGGGCAGAGTTAGAAGGATTCGGGGCTGGGGCAAGGGAGGGAAGAAACTCTTCAGACATTCAGAGTGAATTCATGAATAGAACAAGCCTCTCCCCAGGGTGCAAACTCCCAGTGTCTCTTGACAGAGCACTTCAGACCTTGGATGCCATGAACATGAATACATATTATTATTATTATTATTATTATTATTATTATTATTATTATTATTATTATTATTATTATTATTATTATTA